TTCTCAGACCACATACTGCTGAAGCCTACCTTGGAGGATTTTGAGCATAACCTTGCTTGCGTGTGAAATGAGTGCAATTGTACGGTAGTTGGAGCATTCTTTGGCACTGCTCTTCTTTGGGATTAGGATGTAGACTGATCTTTTCCAATCCTCTGGCCACTGCTGAGTTTTCCAAACTTGCTGGCATATTGAATGTAGAACCTTACCAGCCTTTTCTTTTAAGATTTTAAATAGTTCAGCTGGAATGGTTTATACTCCTGTAAATAAATATTAAGCCAACACTTTCTTTTTCCAAACACATAAAGGAAAAATGTAGCCTAAAATGACCAAACTAGAATAGGTGAAATTGGTACACAAGGACAGGAAACAAAAACAGGGCGAAAAGGGGAGCAATTGGTCCCAATTCTTTTTCTTGGCTTACCAAACGAACAATGTATTAATCAGGAGATGTTAAATCTGAGCAGCCCAATTGTCTCTTGGCAATCCACTGCAATTTCATATCCATTGGAACATGGATCGCACAATGCAGAATCGATCCTATCCTGAGGAATTCCCACAATAACTAGCAAATCACTGATACGGGAGCAACTACTCCCTGCTTCTTATCCCAATCTGTTATATCTAATTTCTATCTCTCTGAACTATGATCCCTAACATTTGGGATCCCCTCAAAACCTATGCCGAAGATATGTGACAGTTTTGCCAGTTGAACCCTATGCTTCACAAAGCCACCTTTCCCCATATCTATGGCTAAACTATGGGATATCTAAGGATTTCCTCCAGAAGACTCACTATTTTAGCAGGGTTAAAAACTGACTTTCTAAACTCCATTCAGAAGTATAATATGTAGACCAGTGGTTCCCAACCTTCAGTCCCCAGATATTTTTGAACTAAAACTCCCACAAGCCTCCACCACTAGTTGTGTTGGTCAGGATTTCTGGGAGTTGTAGTTCAAGAACATCTATTGACCCAAGATTGGAAACCACTTGGGTAGACTCACAACAAGCCTCATTACATATGTTGGGGCCATGTTTTTCTCCCTTTCTTTTTTTAAAAAAAGTCGATGTAGCATTATAGATGAAAGGATTATCTTCCAAGCATATCTTCTGTGAAGATACAGTTGCCCAAAGAAATACCATTTCTCCACCTGATCCTCAAAATCACAAGCTTTCCTGGACAATCTCAGTAGGCAAAACCGCCTTCTGGATATTCCTTGATTGCTGAAATTTCTCTTTTTTTACTTTTAGTTGGGCAAACAGTAGCAGTACCAAGGCCAACTGTATGGACCCCCTCCCCACACACATCCATTCCTCTGTATACAGAGTTCGCCACACTCATTTCTACTAAGTCATACCTCTCTCCCTCTCTATGTCTCTGACATTCTCTTTTTGCAAGCAGATTTTTTTATTTCCAAAATAATTTCAGGCAAACCATCCCCTCCACACACTCTTCTTCTTGCACACATGATCATTCAACCATATATCATCTCACTAGTTCTTTTAAGCGTGAAGACATTTTAAAGGATTACTTACAGCTGCTTTTGCCTGGCATCCAGTACAGGATTTAAAGCCTCCAAAAGCTTGTTCATATTAAACATTCCAACATTTGCCTGGTTTCCTATTTTATATCGTTTTTCGTCATCAGACGTGTTTGGGACAAAGTCTGAAACAAAAATGGCATTTCTGTAGAACAGATTATACAGAATCAACGACCAATTTAAAAATATTTAAGGATCCTCATTCTTTAGGCTGACACCAATTAATAAGTCTTTTAGGACCAAAATAGGGGCTCCCTGGGGAGTCCTGAACCGGGAGGGAGAGGCTAGAGGTTTGTAACTGCCCCCCAAAAGTCATAGCATGACTACGGCTGATGAATTGAAGGTGTATGGCATAATTGGCATCAACAGGATTTCAGTAATTGTTAGCATGTTATCTATAGATGGCAGATTCTTATCTCATTTTTAAATGCAAAGTAAACTCAACTTTGAATTCACCTTAAGAATTCAAAGTGCTTACTTTGATGTATAAAAGCCCTAAACGGCTTAGGACCTGGTTCCCTAAAGGACCGCCTTCTTCCATACGAGCCTGCCTGTCCTCTAAGTTCAGGCCAGGAGGCCCTTCTGAAGGTGCCATCCCTGAAAGAGGTGAGGGGGATGACATGTTGAAACAGGGCCTTCTCGGCTGTTGCCCCCCAACTTTGGAATACCCTCCCTATAGAGATCCACCTGGCTCCAACACTTTTGGCTTTTCAGCACCATGCAAAGACCTTTCTGTTTAGCCAGCATTTTAATTAAATTGTATTATTTAGCTGGCCATATGAGCAGCAGGATTTATTAATATTAATGTTTTAATGATTGTTTTTAATATAGGATATTTTTTAATGGTTTTAATGTTTTAATATTGTTGTATGCCACTCAGAGACCACTGGTAATGGCATGGCTAAAAAAAAATCTTGTAAATAAATAAATAATAGCTAAAGAAGTACACTTGGCAGATTTCTGCCATGAGAATTTTTGGACATTCATTTGTAACTTTTCTGCACTCTCCACAAGATATCGGTACATGCCTGAAGAAATTAATTTATTCATGAAAGCCCACGATGAACATTTGATTCTTAGTGATCTAAAGAAAAGCATCATCTCCATTATATTTGTATCATGGCTCTCTCTGTTGTTTTTGCAGATATTTAAATCACTAGCTTTTTTCCTACGTATTTCCAGTGTTTTACAAAAAGTAGGTTCATGTTACACATAATATAACTGAGTATTGTTTTGTCCACAGAGCAATCTTAGAAATCTGATTTAAAAATACAGTATACAGAATTGTATGTGTATTACATTAGTCAATCTGCCTAGTCAATCTGCATTGATAACAACGGTGTGCTGTCAAGTCAATCCTGACTTATGGTGAACCTTTTCAGGGTTTTCTAGCTAGAGAGTACTCAGAAGTGGTTTACCATTCCCTTCTCTTGAGGGCATCCGGGGGACTCTGCAGTTTAGCCAAGGCCACACAAGCTGGCTCTTCTAGGATGCACAGTGGAGAATCAAACTCCCAGCCCTCTGGCTCTGTAGCCTGATATCTAACTCGTGGAACTATTCAGCCTTACTATGCAAGCCTTACTATGCAAGCCTTACTATGGATGCCATTTTAAACCGCAGTAAGGCTTGCACCATATGTAATTTTCAGCTTAGGAAGCTGTGTATGTTTTGTACGTTTGCTATATAATCACTGGTTATGTTCTTCTAATTTTCATCAATTGTTCACACATTTTTTCAGTAGGGTGGTTCTGTAGTCTCTTCTAGCAGAGAGCCATACAATCCCCCGTAAGACTCATTTTAAGGCCATTTTTCTTGTTCTTCTCACTCAACTTTCTCCAATCCTGTTAGCTCTTTTCAAGTCAAACTTGCATAAAATCCAGAAACTGAAGAAGCAAATTATATTGTGCAGACTAATCACAAGCGTTATCAGTGTAGTCAAATTATACAGTTTCATTGCTTATGTATCCCCATAAATAATCAATTCTGGTTTTTCTGTACTTACCTGGATCGTAAGACTCCATAAACCCAAATGGGCCGTAATCTATAGTAATGGATAACAGGCTGAAATTATCTGTGTTACACACACCTAAAAGTAAACAACACTGCCATGAAAACAGTATAGTGTTATATTCTACAAAATGAAATGTCATTATATATATATTTTTTGAAACTCCTTCCCTCTGCATAATGTACATGTGTCTGTTTACAGGCTACACTTTATGTTTATGTTTTGTTGCATTGCACACGAGCTGGAATTCTATCTATGAGGGTTCGGTTTGAATCTCGAGTTGTCCCCCCCCCCTCCTCTTGTATTCCCACATCTCCAAACACAAGACACAGATCGAGGTTGCAACGGTTGAACATTTATTCTAGAACTATCAAATAAACAATTTACTTCCACTGGAGCAGAGTCTTTCTCCTTTCCTTCCAACTGGGCCAGAAAGGGTTTCCATTGTTCTGAACAAAAGGGTTCCCAAAACTCGAATTCTAGGGGCCCAGTTGCTCAGCTGGTATCCAGTCCTTGATTGTCCCCCCACCCCGTTGATACAGGTAAGAGGGTCATGGATGCCTCTCCCAAAATTTCCTCTCACTTTGTCCTCTCCCTGGGTTTCATGATTTCCCAGATTCTCCCAGTCCCTGCCTCTTCCTCATCTCCCATGCTCGCCATTCGATCCGCTCTCGTCTTTCCTGTTCTACTTTCTTTCTTCTCTTAAACTCTTTCTCCATGAAAATCTAGGATATATATATATTTTACTATATATTTATTTTAGGTGCATCATTCAGCGCCTTAGATAGCCCTTGTAAAGTTCAGACTGGATCCTGGGGCAAACATATGAAAATCATTTCAGACAGCTTTCACTGCCCCTGCCAAAATGTGTTTTGATAAAGAGGTGCTAGGCAGCAAGCCTTCCAGGAAAGAGATGACATCGTATTTGTAGATTAGATCACTTTTAACAAACTCCAAATATTTTATAACCTTAACCAAACAGGAACCCCCCAAAAAATCAATAAACAAAATATAAATACATCTCACCATGAGCAAAGCCTACTGACATCCACAACGCAATCAAATTTGCGGTCTCAGACACTACTCTAGAGAAAAAGGCCTGAAATAAAAAAAGATTTTCTTTCCTTCATCTCTTTTTCACCAAAACTGACAAGAATGCTTATAGAAACACAAGTCTTCTTACTTACCAAGTATCTGTCTGAATCATTCAGGGTTATTGATGGAAAGTGCTCCTCTATGACAAGATCTAACAGCATTCTGAATCATGAAATAAAACGTTTCTTTCATCAAATATTATTTGAAACAACACTGAAGGGATTATTTATACTTATTTATGTCAACCTATCTAATACCTAAGCTTTCTCCCAATATAAGGACCCAACTGAGCTATGCATTTATAAGACTGTAACTGGAAGGATTCCCTTTTTGAATATAGATAGATAGATAGATAGATAGATAGATAGATAGATAGATAGATAGATAGATAGATAGATAGATAGATAGATAGATAGATAGATAGATAGATAGATAGATAGATAGATATCATCACCGCGGGGAGGGGGGCGGTGATAACTTCCTCAATGGCTCAAGGGGACGTTTCTCTCAAAAAAGTTAGGAACCACTGGGTTAAACTAAAGGTTCCCCTTGACATTTAGTCCAGTCGTGTCTGACTCTAGGACGCAGTGCTAATCCCAGTTTCCAGGCCATAGAGCCAGCGTTTGTCCGAAGATAGTTTCCGTGGTCACGTGGCCAGTGCGACTTAGACACGGTACACTGCTCCCTTCCCACCAAGGTGGTACCTATTTATCTACTTGCATTTTTATATGCTTTTGAACTGATAGGTTGGCAGGAGCTGGGACAAGCAATGGGGGCTCACTCCGTTGCGTGGATTCAATCTTACGACTTGCAGCACAGAGGCTTCTGTGGTTTAACCCGCAGCGCCACTACGTCCCCTTCAATGCCATGTACGGCGTCTTTAATAATAACCTTTGAACTGCAGAGCTGGAAGGGACCCTGAGGATCATCAAGTCTAGCCCCTCTCAAGAAGGCACAGTGGGGAATTGCTCCCAACCTCCCAGAGCTAAGCCACATATCTGTTATTTGCATGGATTACTTCAGGGGCTTTGGAGGCTCTGAATGATAAGACAGTGTCAACTCTTCTGCCATAGGCCGCACATAGCCCAAGCAGGAAGCATGTTTCTCTGCACATAGTGAGGGCCTCCCCGAGACCTGACCATCCCAACCTCTTTTCATTCATAGAACTGCCTGCTATCTGAAAACTGCATCTTGGCACTTGGAAATGTAGTATTTTACAGGATTCTACATTTGTACCCAGATAAATTTATACATAAAGCTACGGCACTTATTGTTGACCATAACCCGCAGAACTGTTCGCTCAGTCTACTTGGCCAAGTATTTTGTATCTGTGTATTTCCAAAATGTTGCACATACGCTTTTGAAATGGAATTGAATTGCAAAAGCAGCCAGTGAGGGGACTTTGCATTTTGTGGTATTCCGATATACATGCAACTTTTTTTAAAGCCAACTATCTCATGCTTTTTAATATCTCAAAAAAGCTAACAATAGACTTCAAAACCTGTATGACAGTGTCCAGCAGTCTCTTTCACTTAAAAAAACTTCAGGAAGGGCTTTATTTAAACTCCTTTCAAGAAGGGTAGCTTGTATTTATAACGTATATCTTCCAGTAACTTTATAATTCTATGTGCTCCCAATGCTATTCTTAATAATGCAATGGGTGTCCGGTAACATCCTAAGTCTGCAGGACTTCTTGCAAATACTTAGTTCAAATATGACTCATATCAAAGTATGACAAAGTAGAAGCATTAGCCTTTTTAAAAGGGAAAAAACTCACTGGCACACATATTACATTCAATAAATATGCACTGTTCTTTTTGTTATGAGAAAACAGGAAAGGCATTTCACTGCATTGCCACTCAATTACTGAAAAAGAAACTTTTAGTGACTCTCCAAATTATTACTTTGGAAAAATACTGTTCTATCAAATGGTTGCTTGCTCATATGCTTGACATTCTTTTATATGTGTATTGTGTTGAATCTAGGATGTGCTTTTCACCATTTATTTTGGTCAGGATCCGAAATGGCTTGAATGAGTATATAAAATGCTTTACATACATAAAGTGGGGTGGGTAGAGACATATACATGTCCATTAAAGAATGCCCTCTAAATCCAAATCAGCCTTCCCCAACATGGTGAGCTCCAGATTTGTTGGACTACAATTCCCATTGCCCCCAGCCAGCACGGCCCATGATAGGATCTACAGAGCTACAGATCTGAAGGGTTTCCCTAGTCCCTTGACCTCCTCAGAGATTTTGAGGAGATGCAAGGATTTGTGATGTGCACTGGATATCTGATAAGTCCAGGAACATACAAAGCCCTCTGGACCCCAGCTATTATTTTATACAGTCCAGAGAATGAATGAGTGACAGCTTTAATTCTAACCTTAACAAGTCCACCTCCCCGGAATGAGCAAGTATTTCTAATGATCCTATTCGAAACCATGATTTGGCCACACGCAGAACTACTGCACCTGAAATGCAAGTATACACTCAAGTTAGTAAATAAAAAACACATTCTTGAACACTGACCTAGTTTCAATTAAGTGAACAACATCCCATATATTGAATATCCATGAGCTTATTTTCATTCATGATATTTACATTATTAAAAAAGCAGAATATATGTGTGCAATTTAAGAAAAAGTAGCTGGATAGCCATACTGTTAAAAGGCAATGAACAGAAATACAGCAGTTACCTCTTTCTTGTTTAATATTCCCGTTGTAGAACCGATCCCTCCACACATCATCATCACTTACAACTAAACTGTGGAAAAAGAAGAACAAAATAAATGAAGCAGGTTAATTGTTTGAGGACTAAGTGCTAACTTACAACTAAACTGTGGAAAAAGAAGAATAAAATATATGAAGCAGGTTAATTGTTTGAGGAAAATGGATTCCTGTTATATTTTAAAAGTAGAGGAAATGTGTAAAACATGGACACTTTTGAACACAGATAAGCCCAATATTACAATACTGAATACTAGCAGACTTAGGGACAATTTACAAAATTAACATCCTAATCACAACCTTTTTTTAATCACCTTGTTTAAATAAAACATAATGGTCATGTGAAATGGGCTTCTGGGTACTTTTTCTTGGGAAGAAGTAGCTCAGCCGACAGTGGGTCTTGGTGGGAAAGCATTACTTTGCCAGAAACCAAACCAGATGCCTGTTATTTGCAGAGATGCAAGACATTTGCAAAGAAAGATCTTCCTGAATTATGACAAGGCTCCCAATGACTTACATCATATCATACAGCCAACCACTTGGTAGTCTCACAAGGAGATTTAATATGTCTTCCAATCACTATACTGCTCCAAAACTCTAGAAATCTTGAGGAAGGAAGGAGAAAACACCCTTCTGTTGAAAGCAAAATGTTAAGGGTGAAACCATACAAAAAACTATAGCCTCAAAGTAAGGAAATTTAATGTATTCGCGAAGGCTTTCATGGCCGAGATCTAATGGTGGTTGTGGGTTTTTCAGGCTCTTTGGCCATATTCTGAAGGTTGTTCTTCCTAATGTTTCGCCAGTCTCTGCGGCCGGCATCTTCAGAGGACAGCACTCTGTTCTCTGGTGCAGTTTGTTTGGGAGTTGCGTATTTATGGCTGTGAGATCAGCTTTTGTCCTTTTTAGGAGATGGGTGATTATGGTAGATCAGTGTGTTTTTGTTGTGGGTGTATTGTTGTGATAAGGATGAGAGATTTTTAAGGATCTGTAAAATCCTAAAATTTTAGAGATCTAAAATTAAGTCCAGAATAAGTCCAGGATATCTGGATATCTGATAAGTCCAGGAACATACACAGTTCCAACTTCACCCTGTTGAATTTAATAGAAATAATAAGCATAAAATCTAAGCACAGCTATTGTAAAAGAACAAATATGGAGAGAGTACCTAGCTGCTCGGCTTGTAGGAATGCCAAGATAATGCATGGCCTCGCTTCCCAAAAACTCTCGTACAGAAGAGTGAAGCACTGCTCTGCCATCCCCATTCCTGTAGCAAAGGAACATAAATGTTATCCCCTGTTTTCCAATACGAAAGACAAAATACTAAACGACTTCCTGAATCAACCAGGAATTTTAAGATAGGAATACCTGATGAATTTGATCTTAGTATAGTCCTATATGAAACGACTTAACATATCTCAGGTTAGAGTTTAGAAGCTGACACATTAGTACTGGCCCAGTACTGTTAACTCTGACTGATGGGGTGTCACTAGAGTTGGATCTACTGCCTGTTAATCTATATAGCTCTTTTTAAAAAGTGACTAACACAGGAAAAATAAGGCAAAATTCTGCAGCTCCTTGTGACTCATGCAAATATGTGAAACTCATGATCCCAGAAAGAAAATTTATCTACATTCACAGAGCTTACATTGTGAATTCTGGATCAATTTCAGGATGGTCTTTAATGCTGAAATAAGTCTCTGGGACTTTAAATTTTGATCTGCAACAGAATTTAATTCAAATACCTCTGAAAACATGTGACAAACCTGGAATATGGGGTCCTTCCTGAACCTTTCAGCTGTAGTTCCCAAGTATCACCAAACCTGGTGGGGAGAGGGAAGGAATAAGTATTAGTGATGTTGAGATCTTGTGCAACACAGTACAAGTAGATAAAGGCAGAAGTCAAGACATCTCCAGTCTCAATCTTGATTCAGCTATGAGTTGTGTACCTAGCCTTAGGAAAAACCACTCTCCATAGGCTCAGCCTTCAATCTGGTCTGCAATATGAGAAAAATACATACCAATAGACAGAATAAAAATTATTATTACTGCATTTTAGCAGATATCAGCATCAACAGTATATTACTTAGAAAATGACAATTTAAACAAAAGTATCCAGTACCTATTTGTATGAACACCAATCAAATGCGCCCTTCCATCACCCAGTTGGCCTGCCCAGCTACCAAACTAAACAAGGGAAGGAAAAATAAAAATGCAAAATAAGTACCCTTTATTGTTTAGAGCAAATTTAAATCTCAAACATCATTCACCACCTCTGTGAAGATCGGATTCAATGTGATCCTGTTATAAAACCAAATTCTGCTTTTTTATATACACACAGACAGCAGATGTAACTGCAGTTTGGGGAAATGATAGTCTTATAATATTTTACACTATTCTGGTAGTGAAATACGGTAACAACAGGGAACGAGAAATAGACCTTATGAAATACCTGCAGTCAATACTAGAGAAAGAAGAACAGAAGCTCCTGTCTGTGCAGCAGAGAGTGGTATTCTATAAAACATAAGTAAATTTCTGACCTTGACTAGCAAAAGTTACACTGAGTCTCAGACTCCTGTTAGCACTTTTCTCTAGAGACGTAACAAAGAGAAAATGTAGCTTTTTAATTAAATTACATTTTAAAAATTCACTGAGGCATGAGATCTAGTATTTAAAAACTAAATTTCGCTGGCAAACGGCCTTATCCCAAACCAATGGTTTGTACTATATAAAGTTGAAATGGCCCTAGTACTTCCAGTACAAGCTGATTGAGTTGAAGCTGGGAGAAGATAACATTAGAAGGGAAAATTACAGTTCAATTCCCTTAAAACGCTCACCTTTGGGTTAAACAAGACTTTTTTATTTACAGAGGCATTCCTTTAGTGGTGATGGTCTTGTGTTTGTCAGGAGGTTCCTTGCCTATGTATCTTGTATTTAATGTGCTCTGATTGGTCAGCTGATGTAAACAGCCTTCATTTATCAGTAATCATTAATTTAATTTGTTTAATCTATCAGACCGATTGCTGAGACATGTATCTCTAAGGAAATTCAATCATGGGAGGGAAACAGGAAAACTATAGAGAATACAGTTTCCCTTTATAAAGTTCAGTTTTCCCTCTGATTGACAGGATACATGGCTGAAACTGAGTAGTAATTTGCAACTAGAGTGTTTGAGTCCCTCAAATGTTTTTAAGCATAACTCTGACTGGGATTAATGGAAAATGTTGAGAAAAATATCTGGAGAGCCAACAGATGATCATTCATGAAATAAAAGAGAGCAGTTTTGGAAAGGATAGAAAGAGATAAGTAACAGAAAAAGGCAAAGTGCACAATTTTTAAAAAAAGTCCATTAAGTATAAAAAATGTTACCCTGATGTGAGACAGCAAATATTATTACTGACCTGATGCCCACCATATCGGTGGGCCAAAGGAAGAGATCCTAATATTATTTTTGTACCACTAACAAACTGCAGAAAATCTTCTGTGGCTGAGACAGTTACATCTAAGTCCAAAATATCTTCCAAAACATCCTGAAGAGAAAATAACACCACGGAAATTACGAACTAATAGAACGAACAGGGAAGCAAATGGTACCCATACACACATCAAGCTGCATCGCACCCAAGGACAGTCACATTATTTTGGCATCAAAATCCTACAAGCACATCTCTTCATCCTTGACTGCAATAAGGCCAAATTAAATGACTACTGTCTTTGCTGCCCTTTCATGGCGAACAAAAATGGTACTGGATTCTGCCCAATATGATCCCATTTTTCTCACTGAATATACCTGTATTAGATTAATTTTATGCTCCTCCTTTACCATACAGCATGAATACAACTTTCAGTAATACTACTCATCTAAATCTGCCTCTTGTCTGAAAGGAATGCTGGCAGCTGTTTATTACTTTGTTTAGTCATTATTGGGGGGTGATTATTTGAGAAGATGAGGGTACCTCCAGTACAAACTTTTTTCTATCTATCTATTCATCCGTCCATCCATCCAATCTAAGTAGTGGCCCAGCCACTTCTCTGGGTGGCTAACAGCACGAAATGAAATGTAATTCAATAATAAATACAATTTGGGAATTATTTCGACTATAAGATTTTAAGATTTTTTTTTAAAAAAAGAAACTAGCACTAATTCACCAAAAGGAATTCGAAGATGAATGAAGAAGGTCCATATGCCTTTTGGAAACTTCAAAGGAATATAACATTACCTGCTATAGAAGTTATATTTTGTGTGCCTGGAGAGTCTAATATTTTTCTTAAACACGCTCTTAAATAGTGAACCAACAACCAAGCTTGGATACTAAAAAATAAAGGAAGAAAATGAAGCCTAACCTTTGAAACAGCGACAAGCAGAACTCTGGATTTAAATGGTGTAGGGTACACAACAGAAAAAACCGAGCCACGCACTTCACGTATATATATTTCTTGGATGAAATCAATGGGAAGTGTAGCTAAAGACAAAAAACAAAATCTCATCACGTAACATTACCAAGGACCAATCCTTAGTAACAAAACCAGCAAAGCGCTGAGAGTGAACTCTAACACCTTAAGAGTCAAAATAAGTTGCAAGATGGTGTGCACGTTTTTGAGCTCTCTAGAATTCTTCAAACCGGAGGAAAGGCAAAGGCACAAAACATAAGCCAGAGGTTGTAGTCAGGACTAGACATGGGGACGAATATAAAAACGAATCATAGTTGTTTGTGGGGTCACTGGGGGACAATTCGTGCTTTGTGGGTTGTCAAGTTTGGGGCTTCGTCCCCTCTCTAGTCAGGACATCTGCGTTTAGACCTAGTCTCAAGAAAGAAATTGTAGAGTGAATGAATTAGTGCCAGATACTGTAGGGTAGGGGTCCCCAACCCCTGGTCCGCAGCCCAGTGCCAGTACGGGCCATGGCAGGACCGGGCTGCAGAGTCAGATCTCCTCCCCTGCATGCACTCCCCTATGCACACACGGCCCACCCACCCATGAGTGGGCCCCTCCCTCCTTGCATGCACGCAGGTGCCCCCGCCTGCCATGCATGCCTGCCCCTCCATCTGTGTATGTGTGCTTATGCACAAACACACCCGGCCCCTCCATGAACACGCCCCTCCCATCTGCACATGCACATGAGTGTGCCCCGCCCCTCTGCAAACATGCCCTACCCATCCGCGGGAGCATGCCTGGTCCCTCTGCGAGCGCACCCTGCCCATCTGCAAGCGCGGTCCCGACCCCCACAAGTGTGGGGGTTGCCCTGCCCCCCCCATGGACACCAACCCCTGAACCGGTCTGCAGTTCAGAAAAGGTTGGGGACCACTGCTGTAGGGAGTAACACACACATGTAATCCTGGGCTTACGCCAAGCATTCTAGAGCAAAGCAGCAAAGATTGAGCCTCATTTTCAAAAATATATAGGCTCTTAACCAAATCCTTCTTCTGCTCTTGAGCAAAACACAGTCATTTCTGCATTAAGCAGAGAGAACAAAATTAAATAGAAGCACAACAATTTCTATATTACTGGTGCCATATACATATTTTCAGTGGTACACTAGAGGAAAAAAAGTTAATTAAAACTAATCCCTGCAATATTACCCAGTGCTTGGAGTAGAATGAGACTATGAAAATTCAAAGACGCTGCATTGGAGCTTATGAAAACTTGTGCCAAATAAATATTCTAGTCTTTAAGATGATACATGATGTTTGGTTTTTTGGTTTGTTTGTTTGTTTGTTTGTTTGCAGTTTTCACAGAATACTGCATATTAATGAAATCTCTTATATCTTCACTGCGTGCCTGCTGGAGGAGGTGGGGTGCCGAAATGCGGATCAGCTGTTCAACTGGGACTGCACCAAACCAGCTGTTCATGCCCATCTCTACTGAAGACCAATCCAGAGGTCCAGAGGCAGAAGGCTAGCTTAGAGGGCACCGAGGCACACACCACTGTCCTGCAACAGAAGGATACGAGGACAGAGTGGGAGTGCCTGAGATGGCGACCTCACTCTGCTCTCACTCTTGTCTGCTATGGTCCAGACCCCAGCACAAAGAACTCCATGTCAACATGTGACCTGTACAGAACAGACCAGCCCTATGCTTCCTATCATTGGAGTTTTGAATAACAATGAAATGAATATACACAAATGTTCTCAACTCTATGGAAAAGGGTGCCTCAAAACACTGAGACAAACTGTCAACTAGTATAGGATTTCCATCCCTGAACAAGAACAAAAGGATCAGTACTTTTTCCATCAGTAGCAGCATTCATAAAACTGTTGTGTTTACACAGACTGTGTCACATTTTACATGAAATACAAAGAGCAAAATCCTACTGTGAAAAACCGCAAGAGTAAAAATCAATAACACAGCAGTTCTTCCACTGTTGCTTTCCACCCACTGCATGAACTGCTTCACCTGAGGAAGCAGATGCGTATGATGGCCCACTGACCACATAGGTAGACTCCCTTGTGCAATTACTTCCTTAAGCTGTGAGGGGTAAACATGATTCTAACCCATGTTTTTCTCTCAAATACACTTTTGTGCAAAACCACTTTCGTGATTTTTTTTCACCAAAAAGCCCCAGTCTGTGAATAAGGCACATGATCTCACCCACCAAGGAGAAAACTTTGGAAAATGTTTGTTCTCATTCATGACAAAAGGATAGGTGAAGATTTACATCCCACGGAGACCAAAAGTAAGAGTTTGCTGGGATTCAGTGCTTAAGTGTTCGTATTTACGTATCTGCTTCCCAGTTCAGCAGACTAAGATGCCTCCAGGCAAGCCAGACAAAGAACCCCTTCCTAAGACTCCATTGGGACTCTTTGTATGGAAAAGTCTTCAACTGTTTCTCATATTTTCTACACTGCCATTCTCTTCGGATAAAGAACATTTGGATAACTTTTGGCTGTTAGGTCAGAACAAC